CCCCCCCCCCCCCCCCTGTAGTTCACTCAATCAAACGATCCAAATTCCCATGCAGTCACGATAAAAAAGTATAACCAAATTTTTCTTCTTGTTTCCTTTCAGACTGCGAATCTGCTGGCAGATATCGGTGGTCAAATTGGCCTTTGGGCTGGACTGAGCATTATATCAATGTGTGAACTACTTGAGTTATTTGCTCTGGTTTTTAGAGATTTTTTTGAAAGGGAAAGACGGTAAATACCTTGCAAAGGAATCTAGAGGGGTACATTAGCGCCACATTATATATCTTCCATGGAAAACATTTTCACAAGAAACGTCATTACATTTGGCCGCCGTATTCTGGTCTTGTGAAAATTTAAAAGGAATAATTACAGAAATCAATAGACTAAACAGCAGCACTCTAAACAGTAGGAGGGATGTGTTAATGAATTTATAAGTTAGTAAAGGGAGATAGGTATAGCGCGCATGTATAGCATTTTCTCTCGACAGTAGATAATAGATATATGCATTTGCATATTAATTAAACTCGTTAGCGCTATATTAGGAAACCACCCATCAAACTTTCTCCAACCATTATTTCAAAGTGTAACTGCTCTCATAAAAATTGTTAAAACCTATATATAATTATACTATATAATCGCCCCGGTGAAAATGTTGACGCCAGCGAATTTAACAATAGGATGCATATAATTTTACTTTAATTTTATGTAATATAGATAATTATGCAAATCGTTTTGAATTTTTGATGTCGGTGGTCACACTTTTCAACAAAATACTTACAATTGTTTATATATGTCGGTCGGTCTAAAACATTATTTATACTTGAGTAGTGCAAGTCTGTACGTCAGTTGAACCAAAGTTCGTGTGAAGCATTACAAAATTTGACTGACTTTCATTTCCAAATGTCCAGTTTTTTGATATATTGTTCTTTGCAATACAGAGTAGCTCGTTATTACCATCTGTTCTCTCTGTTGTCTTCTTTTTACAACATTTTGTCAAATACAAGTTAACCTCTTGCCGGAATCTATCATGGAAGATATAGTACAGCAACGGATTACATGCACTGTTAGCAAAAATAAATACATTCAAAGAAGCTAACAAATCCCAGAAGTAAGGAAATATTTCATCTGCATTACCAAAGTCTAACCACAACCACATGAGTTGACTTGGTAGATTACAAAGTGCGAAGACTACCGTTATTTTAATCAACAAACTAACAACTTTCTGTGTTTCTTCATTCCGAACATCATTCAAAGCAGCATTATGATAGTCTCGTTTCTTATTCAGTTCACGCACGATCGCTGTGTAAGCAAAGACCACAATAGTTAAAGGAACAACATAAAAGCAAACAAATAATAGTGTTGTGTAAATCTGTCTGTAAGTTAGGTGCGGCCATTCCTCACCACAAGTGCTTCCTTTCATCTTCAATGTCACGATTTGAGGAATCACGAGCAAGGCGGGAAATATCCAAATTCCAAACAGCATGTACTTCGCGTAACTATGAGAAACCTGTGTCTTCAGGGGATGGATTATTGCTCTATATCTGATCATGCTGAGGGCTGTTAAGGAAAAAATTGATGCACAGACCGCAATAGTCTGAACTGGAGTGTAAGTTTGCAGAAGAAAGAGAGATATGGCCATTTGTAATCATCAATAATAAGTGGGAATTCTAGAGGAATTGATCCAGCGAAAATTATATCTGAGATTGCGAAGTTAAGAATAAATAGGTTCGTGACAGTTTTCACTTTCTTTCGCTGATGCATTACGAAACAAACGGTAGCGTTTCCCAGGATGCCAAGAATAAAAATAATGCTATATATGACGCAAAGAATTATTTTGAACCAATGTTTTTCTTCATATGAATGACTGTTGCTTTTTTCAGTGGTGGATGCATTAACTGTTAAGTTTTCGTTTTCCATCGCAGTTTGAGGATGTTGTAGATTTGACTGCCAAACTGAATCGTAGCTTAATATTTGACCAAGAATCTAAAAAATAGAATGTATTTATTTAATAAACATATGTGCAGAAATGTGCAGTATATAGTTAAATGGCCAATTGGAAACTGCATGACCTGCAGATTGATTTCCGCCCGACGAGGGGGCGATATATTAGACAGCTTTACTAGTTCCAGGTAAACTACGTCAAGCGTTCCTCTTTTGAGTTCCTAACTTGATTGCAATTTTCCTCATTACCTTTGCAAATTTGAAAAACGCCCTTGCATATCCCTTGAGGGAATTCGCAATGTTTCTAAAAGTCAATTACATTTTCCTCAGTTCCTTTTAGAAGTTCTTAATTTCCTGTTAAAAGTTCCTAACTTCCTGTTCTGTGCGTTGTAATTGGCTATTAACATAAACAACCCACCAATGACAATGTTCGGTCTGCTCGGAACAGAACCAGGAACAGAACATGAAGTCAGGAAATTAAAACAGGAAGTTATGAAAATTTACAAGGAAGTTTCTCTGCATTGGAATACTGCAACAATCGATAGGAACATTGCAAATTTCCTCAAGGTATTTGCCAAGAGTTCTTCAAATTTGCAAAGGTTTTCGGTATAGGAAAATTCCAAATGAGTTAGAAACTCGAAAGTGGAACGCTTCACGGAATGTCTGATTCCACGAAATATTTCGCAGGAAATAACATTGTACATGCGCAGTAAAGATAAATTAGGCTTCGCGAGAAACAATTTCGCTTCGCCAGTGAGTAGAAGCATGGATTGTAAAATAACTGGATAGGAAACTTCCTGACGTCACAGTCTAAACCTAGTTGCAATCACGGTTGCCAGTTTGGCGTTAAAAGAGCCAAATTTCTCGATTTTGGCTTCTTTTGACTTCGTTTGGCTACTCAAAATTTCGTTTGGCTTCTTTCTATTTTTTTGCTCTTTTTGGCTTCTTTTTGAATTAATACTGAAATAAGCAACTTTTCAAAAATAGTCTGCCATCCATCAGTAATAGTTAGTTATAAACTCTGCTATGTTCGGTCACATCCGGGATTCCGGATGTACGTAAATATCCGATCCGGATTAGTACCCTCTCCCCGGGCTTATGCGGTTCGCCCGCAAGTTAATTAAGGATCTGTCTATGTCTTTATTGCTACCTTGTTAACTAAATAAAATTTGAGTTGGAATTATTCTTAGTCACTATGTCAAATATAAATGTATTTAATAGCGATTGTTTTTATGGGTATATAGTTCGTATAATTAGGTTAGCCCCAGTCCCCACTCTAAATTTCGATTTTGGCTTCTTTTGGCCGGATTGGCTATGTTTTACCTTTTACGTATCATTTGGCTCTTTCGGGCTCAGACCACCTGGCAACCCTGGTCACAGAATAGGAAGGTACAGCAGAAGCGTAACTCGAGTCGGTTCCCTTATTGTTTTACGTCCACGAAAATTTTAACTCGCTCACGCCATCCTGGCTAGTACAACCGGAAGTTTTTATCAGGTTTTGGTAGGTACAAAGTGCCGGTTGTACTAGCCAGGATGGCGTGATTGATGACAAATTGCTTGTAAAAATGCGGACAAATACTTGCTTGAGTTACGCTTCTGCTATACCTTCCTATTCTGTGCCCTGGTTGCAATCTGTGACGTCACGCGTATTGCAAATATACCAATTAAAGTTCTCGGCATTTTTGTTGTTTCGCTATATTTTCCGCTTTAAAAGAGTAATAAATGAAGCATAAACTGGTCTAATTGTTTTAAAAACATGCCTAAGCCACGACAAAGTATTCAAGGTAAACGTTTTTCGTCTTTGTTTTGTATTTTTTTTACATTTGTAGATACGAAATTGGCGTCGCCAATTTTAACGAAATTTGCGATGTATTTTTCACTGTTTAGTGCTTGAAATATTTACTAAAATTGACTGGGAATACTTAGAGATTTCATCGTAGAATGGCGTAGTTATATTTATTTGCTCTAAACATGCCGTTGTTGAGAATATTTTGTTTGCAACTAGGTTTCAACCGCAGATGATAGATTATACCAGATGTCTCACTGTGTATCTATCCCTATGTTTTCGTGTCCGCGATTTTCGCGAGGCTATCACGCCAAATGACGCGTGCGACACTTACTGCCAAAATGGCGCTTACTGCCAAAATGCGTGATTGCTCACGTTTCAAGGCGTGGATTACACTAACTGCCAAAATGGCGGCCAACGCGTGCTCATAAAAAATCGCGGACACAATTTTGGCTGAGTGAGACATCTGGTATAATCTATCATCTGTGGTTTCAACATCCAATCACGACATCAGCCCATTGAAAACATCAGGTCATGTCAGCTAGTTTCCTATCCATTTATTTTATATCCACGGTAGAAGTCATGTGCAGCTTTACTCACTGCGAAAGCGAATAAAGTGGCCAAATTCAATAGAATCGCTCATGTGCAACCATCCATGGGGGTTCGGTGGCACAATCGTCAGAGCACGCGCCTTTCACCTCTGACATCGTGGGTTCGATTCCCGTTGTGGACGTTATGATATCCATGTGGAAGGAGTCAACGTTCTGCCGAAAGTCGTGGGTTTTCTCCGGGTACTCCGGTTTCCTCCCACAGGGAAAGTTGACAGGGTTGGCAATGTTGACCCTTCCATCATCGTAGCTGTGCTCCGTGATCAGACGTGAGTTATAAGGTGGCTGCAGAGGCGCCCCTAGAAAGCCTAACTAAGGAGCTTTTTCATTTTGATAAGCGAATTAATACACCCGGAAGTAGAAGTACTTGTATTTATCAGTGAACTCCACTATGGTATTTATAAACCTCTTTTCAATCTGCGCATGTTCACCAGACGTTTCGGTACGGTACAGTTGAAGATCGTTATTACACAATACGCAAACATGCAAAAAATACGATAAATGTTCACGACTTGTTCACGACATTTCACCCTATAAAATGTCTCATTCCCATTATACTCTTCGCGCTTATACTTTAGATTGCACATTTGACTTTGTCAGTATGGTTTGTGACAACTTTAATTGAAATACCAAATGAGTACCGTACCGTCGTACGGACGGTAGTACTAAGGAGACTAAGGACAATTTCAACCTCGTACGTGTATGCTAATTACCAAATGATAAACATAAATCATGTTTGAACACAGTTTTGTACATTAGTCACTATATACTACTGTTGTCACAGCCACTAGACTTCAATCAGGTGATAGCAACTGCCAGTACGTCGTCGAAACAATCAGGCATAGCCAAACTTAGACCATAGTAACTATGCTTAGACCTACAGACCGCGGGGGAAACGCCGTCTGTTTTTCTAAACAATCACGCAACCATGTCCCTTTACTCTGCAGACTGCAATACTCAGTCCCTCTGCGCTAATCATCCTTACTCGCAGCTGAGAGCTAAGCTGAATTGCAAAGGACACAGCTCAACCTGATCGATCGGTCGAGTCGAAGGTTCTCTCACAGCGCCTCTGGCTGCCACCTGATGACTAATGTCTGAACACGTACAGCACAGCTACGGGGGAAGGGTCAGTTAGGGCTTAATCATTGGCTTAATCCAATCTGTGAACTCTAAAAGGACTGGAACGATAACTTGGCCTCCAACTTGACTGTCATCTTTAAAGCCAAATTGAAGGCCGAAAGGTATGGAGTGGAAAATACGCCGCCTAGAAGACATCTGTTTTCGCGCACTAAATAGCTGCATTTCAACAAGGAAAAAAGCTAAAAACTTTCAACAATACTTGAAAAATTTAATACAAAACATGTTTCCGGAATGTAGAAAATTCTTTTCTCAGGAGTCAAAGTGCGAAGTTTTTTTCGGCACGTTCAAGCTTGTGTAATATTTTGAATAGGAAACTGTTACCCAAGTTTTTTCTGTTAGTAGATGTTACCACATGTAAGGCAGCCAAGAAGCCCCGGTGTCACAGGAAATTTGGCCCTCCCGAAAATTTGGCCCCTCCGGGCCAAATTTCCTAGGAAATTTGGCCCCCCGGGCCATATTTCCTAGGAAATATGGCCCCCTCTTCGGAAATCTGCCCCCCCCTTAAAAAAATATAGTTTGTTTTATCTTTAGGCTTGGAAATCGTGAGGCTTCTACTAAAACAAATTTCTAGAAATTTTTCTCAACATTTATAGTCAGTTTGCGTAATTTTTTTGTGTCAAAATTCTCCATTGAATTGCAATACTGACGAGAATTAGGCCAAGAGCTAAAGTTTAGCGTACTTTTCGCGTTTGGTTTTGACCAGCTTCATAGAAGACAACGTTAATAAGGCATGTGAACAACATAATAACAACGTTAACATGTACCTAAAGCAATACTTTTTCTTGTAAATAAACGAAGAAAAACACTAAAATCGCAAGTATTTGTGTTGCTTGACTGAAATGTAGCATACGCTAATTATGAAACTACAGTAATTTCATCTCGGCAAGCGGGACGAAATATTCCATATGAACGCACGGAAATATTCGTCTCGGTAGGCAAGACGTCCCGGTAAGTGGGATCATATGAACAGCCCCTAAATAATGGCTGTATCATTCAAAGCTATGGAAACGGAACGTCATTTAAACTTTTGTGCTTTTGTGTGCGCGGAATGTTTTTGTAAGCGATGAAGCATACAGTCTACTTTCGTTTTTACGGAATGCTTCTGTAATGCATCCCAACCATATGAACAATTATATATACTGTGTATATGTAAGAAAAAAAACCATAGGAAAAGGTTTTTTTACGAAGAAACCACTCATTTGATTCTGTTTTTCGAACAAACATTTCAACTTAAAAGTCTACTTTTATCGCTAATTACTCCCTGTTTTTTTCTGTGTTGGTGTAATGTACTCAGGTGAATATGATGCTTGTGATGTTACTCTGAGTGTATATCCATTTATTTATTAGACGCGTGCATATTAACATATTCGCCAACGCATGATGTCATCGTTTGCTAAAGTGCGGTTGTTATTCCGACTAATTTTATACTATGTGACTGAATTTATAGATCTACATAACTCGTAATATCTTAGAAATTCTTATCTCTACAAATAATCGTTTTGTGTTCTTAGTTAAAGCTAAGCCATCGTGCATTAACGTTGTCCTCTACAGATACCCATGTGTCGGATGCGTCTGGCATGACTGCACTAGCACATTATTATTACGTTTTCTTTCAAACTTTTAGCTCTTGGCCGCAATGAAGAATTTCGACACAAATAAATTATGCAAACTAACTATAAATACTGACAAACATTTTTAGGATCTTTGTTTAAGAAGAAGCTTCACGATTTCCGAGCTTATAAGGAAATTTGGCCCGAGGGGGCCAATTTTTTTTTTTGGGGGGGGGGCAAATTTCCTGGGACACCGGGAACGAGGATGACTTTTGACTGAATTTCCCGCTCCTCGAAACTCTCCCTAGTCCTTTTGAAAGTTAATTTATCCCGCGCTTGGCTTCAATTTGGCTTCAACCAATCATAGAACTTGATAACTGGAGTTATCGTTCCAGTTTACTTTATAGAGTCACTAATCCCAACCCACGTACCCTGTCAACATTCTATGTGGGAGAAAACCGAATTACCAGGAGGAAAACACATGTCTTTCGGTAAAGCGTTGACTGAATCTGAAGTGCCTGCATGAGTCAGCAGCGAGAATCGACCCACGATCTAAGAGATGAAAGGAGCTGGCTCTGACCATAGTTATTTTAATAGATGGTTTGGAGACTCGATGAAAGTACAATATAATTCATTAACTATGTTATTGGCCAGCTTTATGCAAGAATTTGGTCCTATCTCGTCACGTGTGTATTGTATTTTCGCTCAAATAACCAATAACAAGTTTGTGGTTGAGTTATCCATCCGTAACTTGAACAAATGCTCAATTTAAACATTGCTATTGGTTGTGCGGGAAAAAATACAATACACACGTGACGAGATAGGCCCAAATTCTTGCATAAACCGAAACCAACATAGTTAATGCACGAGTTATATTGTACTTTCATCGAGTCTCCAAACCGGCCATGTATTCTATTAACTGTGCTCTGACCATTGTACGACCGACGCCTCATACAAAATTAGGACTAAGAGTAGAGCAAAGCTAAATTCAAAGGAAGTATTACTGTTACTTTATGCCAACCTTCAACGTCATCTTACCTTACTGTAATTGGCAACTTGCAATAAGACGGAAACTGTCCCTCATGCTTCCCCGGCCTATCCAGAACTAAAATAAGCACAGAGACGTCATTTACCAGAATTTATAGTCACTCGTTATAGCTCATTATGCAAATATTGTAGGCATAGCTATAGTATTGTTGCCAAAACACTCAGGAGTAGTATCAGAGGGCGTGGATATACGTCAAATATGAAGAGTTTGTTGAAAACACATACGTACCTTGTCCATTGTTTCATGCGACCGAAACACTGTGTAGGCGAATAGGTTAATGAATGGTCTGCTTTTGCATGGATTAAAACCGACACCTGCTGCGCCAGTAATAAAAATTAACGAATGTAAAAATTAGAGGATCTAAAACAGTACATTTGTATCCAGATGAAAAGAAAAGACAAAAGCTTGGTTTTGTTTCTGTGGAAAACATCACGTCTATTTGTTTAGCCTGTATGCAACTTTATTTCGATCCGTGTGTCCTGATTTTCATCACATCATGCATGTAAATATTGCTAGCAATAATCCGGGCCAAATAGCCGAAATCTTGCCAAATAAATAAACGTGGCGTTTTCCACAAAATAAAACAATTTATTTATTGCCATAATACGGAACTTATACGGAAACCATATGTGCATGTCAAACATCTCATTACACTACAAAGTTGAAAATCAGATTAAGATCCAAAAACTACGTCTTTATGGCTCTCGAATAGAATTTAAGTAAATATTTCTAACAAACATATATATCAACATGACTGCGGAAACACTTCTCGGAATTGCCTACAGCAGGAAGGTAAGAGTGCATGCATGAAGTTATCGTCACTGCAGACTATATAAAAAAGAAAACATGAATTGAAATAATGTAATCAAGGACAAAGCCAAAAGCAACAGCTAATATATTACACTTTTCATCAGTTGATTTTTGTAAAGTTGTATGCACATGATATATCAACATTAAGACAACATATACTTTAACCTCAACATGTATTGGCAATACTTAGTTGTATGAAATGAAGCCGAAATATTATTGATCAAGTAAGATTTATAAAAAAATTACACATTTCTAGCATACATTTATATACAGATGTGACAAAGTTTGATAATGAAGAAAACTATTAATTATTAACAACATTAACAAATAACAAGTAATGTTTGTCATAGAGATACTTCCGGCTAAATGTGCAGTGCGATCTAAGCCAAAGAAACCATTAAATGTTCAAATGAAACTGGCGCACTTTTAAGGACAATTGGAATTTACATGTCTCGATCAATTCCAAGTGTGCTTATATAGGCTATCTCCTCTCCGGGCATTAGATATTTAGGCAAAAAACCCACTGAAAAAACCCCGTTGCGAATGCCCTGCCATGATGTCAAAATAATGATACAAAATCCCCACTGGCACTGTAGCAGTGTAGAGATTTGAAATTGATGTAAATGTCCCAAGCAAATGTTTATAATATTGTAATATTAACGCACTCAAACAATATACTTCAGATATGTCTTATATAAAAGTTTGCAGTTGACACCCAAATCCACGCCCTGTCTACACGCATCCGAATTTGTTTTTATCTGCAAACATTTTGTTGCGGATTCAGAAAGGTACACGTCCACATGACGTATCCGGTTTGGTTGCATTTCGACCGTCTACACGTATCTGCGAAAACATTGCGAATACGCTCGAATCGCTTACAACGCATGCCCCATCGCATGTAATGAGCCCACAAGGCTGATGGAAAAAAATAACATCAAGCCCTTTTTGTGGATACAGATAATGAAATCGAGCTTCCCGAAAATCAAATGGCGAATGCAAAAATATCTATACTGTATATAGACTTGGTTGGTTCAAGTTGCTTCACAGATGTGACACAGATGAATGAAGGTCTTGAACCAAGTCTAGACCATCACACCTCAGAGGAATAGACCTTGGAGGAAATTTGTGCACAAGGTTTTTACCCTAGTGCTGATATTTAATGTTTTATATATTGAAGAGCTATAAAGCCATAAAGGTGTTCCTATCAAATAACAAATAATCCCCAAAAATAAAATGAAAACTTGCAAGATTGTTTACAATTATTACAATTTGTACTTTTTCCAATTTGAAATGTCTTGATATGATCGATACATCAAACTTGAGTTACTTCATAAGAACTTTATTTTTGAACTTTATTTCTATTTTTTATTTCAATAACTTTATAATATTATGTTAATGTCAAATAAGAAAGAATGTTAATGTTAAATCGCACAGAAAGTCAAACTTCGTAAACTGAACCATGTTCATTATGTTTCAGTTCTTGCAAAGATCTCTCCAACTTTTATCAAAATCTTCGTTAGTAATGTCCTCTAGAGTTGCTACGATTTTCAACGCTTTGGTTGCACTATATGACAAATATTTAGCATTATCTGGATACACCTTGCTGGAATGTGCGCCAAAACAACCGCTCTGGCACAGTCTGGCTTTAATACAGCAAAAGATAACATCACTTTCATCTTGTGTTAGTGGACATTTGTCATGAAAGCCAGCGACCGTGTTGGCGGCAGCTTTAATTCCGTTGTCTTCGGCTACAGTCATCATGTAAGCTGCGGCGATGGCAATATCAAAAACTCGGCAAGTATAATTCACATCTCCAAAATCAATTAAACCAGTGACTTCCAACTCATTCGTACCAGGATTGGTGTGGACAAGTATATTCGCATCGTTGATATCACCATGGATACATTGCTTTGGAAGAACATCAAATCGTGGTTTCACAAATTTTTTGAATGAAGTTTCAACAGCGTTTACCGCTTCTTTTTCTTCTAATGTGATACAACCACGACCTCGTAACAGCGTATCGAAGTAATACAAATCCCAAGCAAACTTTCTTTTCTCCAATACAGGACATTTCAAATCCTTGATAAAATATTGAATTTAAATAAGTTATCTTCTAATTCATTGTCCATTGATATGCCGTTATTTAACTTTACATATTTAAAATCCTCACTCAGAACCATATCAGTAAATAATGGTGGATCCTGGCATCTAGGACCCCCAGAAAATTTTCAGACCTGGCTTAGCTGGCAGAATGATTTTAGGGATTGCATAATGCCAACATGCATGCAGGTACAGGAAATAATTTATTAGGACGAATATCAGTGAGGTCGGTAGAAAACTTTGACCTAAAACCTAGGATCCTAGAAACAAAAATATTATTTCCTGCTTGCTCAGAACTGCATGGGTGATTTTACTATATAAGTTTTCATAAAGATGGAAGAACTTTGTATTTGTAATATGTATGTGTATTAACAGATTTATTATTAGCATGACAAAATTACTGGATGCTGATTGGTTGAGAGGTGTACAATTATTTCATTAATTGTACTGCAGTACAATTAATGATTTTCCCAAAACAAACAAAATGGCGGAAAGGGATTTTAAACACAGATGTGAAATGAAATTGCCGTGAAGGAACTAGATGAAAATACGAACAAAACTCAAAAGCACCAAATTTTGCTTGAACAAAAGAACTAAATGAAAATACAAACAAAAACACCAAATTTTGGTTGAAAGTCTGGCAGAACTGGGCTTTGGCGAGAGAATATGATGTTGACATTGAGAATTACGTATTCAGTTTTGTCATGCTAATAATCGTATTGTTCGAGAGAACTAACAATATCGTTGCTATAACGTAACAATATCGTTGCTCCTTCATAAAAGTTTTCTTTTAAACGTTTCCTTTGGCATCTGATATTGGTCGCGATATAGACAGTTCAAAATCACTTCTAACGGATAATACATTGACCTAAAATGAGCAATTGCTTTGAATTACAAAAGAACAAACTCATCTGGAATGGCGACTTAAGCGAATTAAAGTCCTACGTTGCAGAAAAGTTAAACATAAATGGTAAATGGAAAATAAAAAAATCACCGTCAGGTGGACGCTGGTTATTTACTAGCGATGCTTTGTCTATAACCTGGTATTGTAAAAGCAAAACTGTCTTATTTCAAGGTCCTCGTGGCAGCGAAGTGGCTGACTCTTTGAAGAAAAATATCGATGCATCGCGAATTGCAATAGTGAAAGATGCCGAGCTAATCATTGCTACCCCTGCTGTTTCCGAAAGACGGAATGAATCTATCGATAATCAGTGTAGTCTCAGTATTAACAATTCTAACTCGAACATGTTTGACAGATCTAGTAATACAACAACAACTATCAACCGAAGCGACTCGGATGCTAGCGAAGGAAAAGCAAATGAGCAAGAAATGTGTTCACACAAGCAGAACGAAGGCGATTATATAATGAATTGCAAAGACTGTAGTAAATTATCTGTAGAAGTAGCAGAAATTAAATTGGACTTGGCATTATTATTCCTAAAAGTTAATACTGCTGAAGCTCCCGCTACATGTGAATGCAATCGGCTACGAAACGAAAATCAGCTATTGAAACAAGAAATTAAATTACTCAAGGAAACACTGCACGGCATGGAATTGTCAAAATCGCCAATTAACATTGCTATCGATAATATGAATAATCAACCAACCATCACTGACAATGACTTTGTTATACTAATTGATATAGAAGAATCTGAAGTTAACGTAAACACTAATATGAATAATTTACCATCTGCGACATACAAAGAGAAACAATATAATACCCGAGGGCCAGTTGTTAATGACTCTCTTATGAAATATAGAAATCCCAATAAACCAGTCGTGCAAGA